GCGCACTTCCTCCTTCCCCGCGCCTTATTTTCCCTTGAACTTCTTTTCTCGACGTCCCTACTATCCGAGGGCTTGGCACGGGCTACGCGACAAATCGCGAGAAAAACTCCGGTAAAAAGAACTTCCCGTACCTCTAAAATTTGGCCAACTACGTAAGAAATTCCTATAATATGTTAGAAATACGTTTATCGCAACACCTGGCGCAGTTGTAAAGAGCCAGCCTTATGAATAAAGGGAAACAAGCCAATAGGTAACAAAAATGGTTAAAACAACAACAAAATCAAAGAGGCCAAAAAAACTGGAAAGGAGAAAATGCCCTGGCCGAGAGTCGAACCTGGACCACCTGCATGTAAGGGTCGCAATTCGTCTACCGCTCGACGTCGCCACTTAAATTTCGACAAAATTATGAACCTTCGCTGCGCGAGGAAATTAATGAGCATCAGCCCTTCATACTTTTGCTTATATGCCTGAGAGACAATTTTTAATGCAATATTATAGTTACCTTCTGCCTTTGAACAGGACTCAGGATGCTGTGAAGTAACCTATTAAATTAGAATATATTTTACCCATCAGCCAGAAGAAAAGCATAACCAATACGTTCTTGAGTGATGTCACTTTTTGGACTGTACGCAGAATTTTAGACAGCCCTAGTGCCCATACTTAAGAACAAATTTCAATTCGCGAGCAAATTAATTAAAAGTAATCTTCATTTGAATGGTTGTGAGGATTCAACCCATTCGCTCCGGTAAATTTTGCCCGAAATCGCCTTTTGAAGCTACAATCATGGACAAAAGTCTTGGGACACTTTTGCGTTTCTGGGGCGTTTTCCAATTCACACAAGTCCAATTCACACAAGTCCAACCCCTCCCCTCACCCCAGAAACAATGTTGGACGCGTGTATCCAGAATTTTTTCCGAGTTTCAACTTTGTATAGGGTAAGGGGGAGGGAGAACGGCAAGAAAATTTCGAAAAGGATGCACTGTTTTAAGAGGGAACCGAGAAATGACAGAAAAATATGAATATTGCAGTACCGTCCCAAGGGCTTTTGTCCAGGATTGTAGTTGAGCTGTTTTCTGGTCAAAAAAGATTTTCAATGGAATTTTTCCTTTTTCTCCGGCCTCCTTGACTGAATTGTACTCATTCTTCTATGGTCTGAAAGACCTCTTCCCCCTTATAGATGACTTGGTTGTCCTTGACCGTTCAAAACTGACGATGCCACAAGCAGTAGAAGGGACGTGGATCTGCGAGGGCGGTTGCGGTCGGTTCAGGGGCGAACGGGATAGGGGCAAATGAGAAATGGGCCATTTGATTTAAACTTTGCTTGCTCACCTCTTTGGACAAAAATGAGCTATAACCAGAAACAGCACTCCAGAGGTCACTAAAGGTACAAAAACAAATGTTACAGTAAAACACCTTGTTTTAAGTTGTTCACCTTGATATTTTATTTCTTAAAAATTCCACCCGTAAGAGAAGAGAGGCTTGAAGGGCCTGTTTACATGCAGGTAGGGGACCCCAGGTTCATTTAGGTGAGGTAAACCGCTTAGGTGGGGTAAAAAATTAACCTTCGTTTACATGCAATCATGAAGCCCCGCCATCCCGGGGTGCACTTTCTCAAGTTTATTGAATGGTCGCTAAGCACGTAAACGAGAAAAATGCTGGCAGACCAAGTGTTTTGGCGATTGATTCTCTTCAGCACTCACTTGCTGCTCTTGCTGCAACCTTCAGTGCTGTGGCTTTCTTTTGTTACCTTTAACTGATGCAAAGCCACCGCCAAAGTGAATTTTGCGCGAATTTTATGTATCACGAATCCGACCCCGGCTAGGCGGGTTACCCCACCTTGAAACGTTTACGTGGCAAAATCTGACCCCGGCTAGGAGGGTTACTCGGTCTGGCAGACTGAGCTACCCGCCTTGGCGGGTCACCCCACCAATCATGTAAACGTAACCAAATTAAAACGAGAGACTATATATATGGACAGGCGGGTTACCTCCAACTAAACGGGTTATCTCACCTACCCGGGTTCCCCCACCTCCATGTACACAGGCCCTAAGTTAAATACCTTTTGTCTACTGGTACAAGAAGGGGAACATGTTTTCTATCGGTTTATAGTTAAGGGTACTGTGTTTCAAACTTTGCCTAAATGTAGTATTGGCGTTGTGTTAAAGGTTTGTCTATAGTGGAAAGTGCACTTAGCCTATCCAGCTAGTTTACATGCACTTTACTCAAATGATAAGAAACAAATAAGGAGGCAACCAGTTGGTTATTTATAAGCATGGCAGAAGATTTGAACCCGGAAATACCGAGAACAAATCCAGCAAGTGGTCAGGGCGGGACTGTACTCGGTAGTCTAGCAGTTTCCTCTCGCTAGCAGAAGCAGTCTTTCCGCTTGTTAGGGAGCTTAGTGCGATGTTTTGATTTGTGTTTTGATAAACACAAGCGCGCCTTCTCATTGGTTGAAAAGTGTCGCGTGACCAGTTGGCCCTGTCCTTAAATTTAGGAATATTCCGGACTGTTTATGATCCTTGCATTGAATTTCATCATCATTTAAACAGTTGAAAAAGAAAGAAAATTTAACAAAATCAGGCTTATCCACAAAGAATGCAAATCACTCAGATCAACGAAGCGGAAAGGACTTGTCCACCTAACGTAGGTAACCGGTCATTTCGCCCCAGTTACTTAGGCCCCTATTTTCGAATCGAATCTAGAACTATAAATCTGCTTATGTGCGACTTTATCAGCGACGAAATCTACCTAAAATCTAAGATTTACCCAGAGCCTTTCCCCACCCGAAATGATGCCCATTTTTTCCGCGCACATCTGTTTTCAAAGGAATTCAATTATGGAAAACAATGAAAAAATAAGGCCTATGGTCAACTGAGGTATCGAACAAAACACTAGATAAAGCGCTAAAAATATACGTACGTGTAATTCAAAACAATCCAGAGTATGTGGAATAGGCCTTTTCTTGTTTCTTACCTGCTGGTTGATGGTTCCTTTGATATGTCTTTGACAAAGCAAAAAGGTAAAACGAAGGTTAGATGGTTCACACTCAAACCTCGCGCTAAGTCTGACTTAGCTTCCTAAGGTGGTATGAACTTCATTTAGGAGACCCTCAGTCTTGAAACCCTAATAGTCTGGCCTACTACTGTGATCTTACTATCTTACATTTCCGCTGTTAATGTAAATCTGCTAGCTCAATCAGAGAGTTATTTCAGTCACTATAGACGGAAGCTTCGCTTTTACGCTTGGCCAACTGTTTGTGGTTCAACTTTATTCTTGGTTTAAATTTTATTTTCTTTTGTTTTGGGGTATGGTAATGTATGATAATGAGTTTGAAAAAAAAGAAATAAAATTTAAACCAAGGATAAAAATGAACTACAACACATCCTTTGCTGTAGTTTTAACCAAAAGCACCTTTTTTATGAACACCTTTGACACCCTGCTCTCCATGCATTTCTTAGTAAAGTCGTAACATATAATTTTACCCACAGTATTGAGTAATTAAGGCATTAGGAATACACTCAAACAAACTCGCTCACCAAGAACTCTTCCCATCAATATCTGGTTAGGATCGCTGTTTTTCTCAGTAATAAAGAGCAGATCTTCCTTTTGTTGTTTGAAATAATGATCTCTAAAGTATGTAAGCCTTCCGGACAACTTCACAACGTTAAAAATTTCGTTAAATTCGGCTAACTCAATCGCAGTTTACTCATATTTGTTTGTTCCCTTGTCGGGAAGTTCCCTGCATTAGCCTTGTATTCATGCTCAAGGCCTACTCGTCCCAGGATGGTCGGTGAATACGAATATTGTCTATTGACGTTATCAGATTAGTTAAGGAAATTGGTGGGCTGAATACAAAAACACCGGCCCTTATAGCAGGCGCTCCCTTCCCTTTTTCCCGCTTTTGCGCTCTTTGTACCTGCCACGCAGGCTAAGTACTAGTTTAATTTAGTGGTTTAGTTTGCGACTCAGCCAGGTGGACTGAGTAGGACCTTTGAAAGGTCATCTGTTTCTTTTAGGTTTTCACTGGTAAGATATTCAGTCAGAGACAGGCATCAGCTAGTCAGTCCAGGGTTGACGATATGTTGAAGTTTTAAACACGGTACAAAGGAAAATGTCTGTTGTCTGTATAAAGCGGGTTAATTTTCAAGAAAATATGAGCTTTTGGTCAGGACAAACGAAACTGTCCGTTAAATACGGGTGTCCATAGCGTGGGGTTTCACTGAATCTAGGTCTTTGCTGCTTACCAAATTCCCAAAAAAGTTGCTGGTCCTCTTCAGCAATCTCAGCCAGGTTAGCTGCAAGTGAGTTTATATAGATGGATGTCAGATCGGATGTCAATTTATGCAATTGCAGAACAAAAAGGCTAAAATACTGCATGATTCTGAATCAAACACTCATATTTGCCACAAATGGCCACAAAATAGGCCACACACCCACATGCTTGCCATTAGAGGTTAATGTCATTATGACTTTTAAAACAAATGAAAAAAGATCAAAGTGCGTACGTACAACTGTAATCCCCCAGCAGAAAGAGGATGATGGAAGTATTAGCATGCACTACATTTGCAGATCACCAAAATTAAATCAACAGTTTAGGCATTATTAAGCACACTCAGAAAACCATTGCTTGTCTGTCATCTGACAACTGATCAACTATCTTTCATTATTTGGGCAACAATTAACAGACAGCTGGTCGTGAAGAGTTGTTCTTCCAAAATTTTAACCCTTTATGTCCCAAGAGTGACCAACATCAGTTTTCTCCTAACAATATCTATGCATTATTATGAATGAAGATCATCGCAGTTATATACGCAACTTCTGCAGTTGCGAAAAGAAAGCCTGAAAAAATTCAGGCTTGTACGGGATTCGAACCCTTGACCGGGTCGAACGTTTTGACTCTTGTAAAATTCTCTTAACTGATTCATTAAGGACATGTATGGAGATCAGTTTGGAGAATTTATATATGGGTATTGGGGCTTACCCTTACCCTCAATACCCTTACCTTCAGGGGGTGACAGTTTGACTGGTTCGCGGGTGAAGTCTTCGTGGAAATTAGAAACATCAGTGTCAAACTTTACTACTGGCTTGAAAGGGGGCTTAACCTGCGGTATCAACATCAAATTTTTAGAAATCCCTCAAGTTAGCATCACCCTTCACTTAAAAATTTTTATTTATGCTGTGCAATGGTTGAATGTACAGTTTTATAAGAGTTTGTTGAATCCAGGCTCGTTTTTCCTGCAAACTTGTCTTTACAGTGCAGATTTGACCCAGAAATCGGCAAGGGAAATTGCCCTAATTCCCCGTTAATTTTAAGTCCTGTGCTGTTAAGTTTGATTTCCAGGAGAAAATGAAGACATTTTAAGATACTTAGAGCAACTATCAATAAAATTTGATATTGCCTCTTCAAACCTTCCAACCCCTAAACCATGCAAATCTGAAGGGTTTGAAAAAAAGCTCCCCAAAATATATTACAAGTAAAATATTACAAAATATGTCAAGAAAAACCAAAAAGGCAGAATATTCTTTTCATGGTATTCTTTACCTAGCGTAAGTGGTCTCTGTTGTACTCTCTTGTTTTGGCAATGAGAAGATTCTGTTTTACTATACAGGTAGATAGGCCACCGGGTGGCGAAGTGAGAGCTTTTCCCCAGACCTTAGCGAACCTACATTTTACGGAAATGAGGTTGGAATAGGCCCTTTGTACCTAGTCATTCATGTGGTACAAAACCGCCGTACTGGAGAGCAAAAGTCGCCCTGGGATAAGACAAACAAAAAGCATACATAATTTTAAATGGTAATTTCCTTTGTTGGTCTTGTCCCAGTGCGACTTTTGCTTTCCAGTACGGCGGTTTTGTACCACGTGATTGGCTAGCTGCAAAGGGTCTATTGAACTCAGGCTTTCCCCCAAAATTAGATTGATACAATCCACCCATTATGAAGACAGTTTTTTAAAATTATGCAATTCCCACCAGAACTGTCTGGCAATTTTATGATTTTCTGATCCACCGTAAGATTTGAAAGCTAAATTGTGAGACCGTGGGTTGAGTCAAACTGTGAGCGTTGGAAGGTCTGCCTCTTACCCTCTTGTGAAGGATGTCATCCCAGTTGACTTTGGAAAAGAATGGATCTCTCATGACCTCTTTAGCATCATCTGGGCTTCCACCAAGGCTGTGAAGATTATGATCAAATGATATGTATATTTTCACTGTAACAAATCATTAACTAGATATACTTCTCCTCTTAAGTTTCCTTGTTTTCAGCACACTTTATTATGGCTCATTTATCTGGTCAAATACCGGTAAATGCAACATCAAGAAACTACAGTTAGTCCAGAACTTTGCAGCATGAATCACATGTAGTTGGATCTCAAAAAGTTCAATCACATTTCACAAGGTACTAAATTCCTTAACTGGCTACCTGTTAGTGACAAACGTTAATGAACGATGCTGTAGTGATGTTTAAATGTTTAAACAAGCTTGTCTCTTACTACTTGGCTGAGAAATTTATCTGACGTAGTGAAATTCACACAAAAAAGTACTAGACAGAATAGTCAGCTAAACATTCCGAGATGCCATCTAGCTGTGAATCACTGGTTCCTCTTCTGTCAAGGGGCAAAGCGTTGTAATTGTATCAGTGATAGTGTTAAATCAACTGACTCAGTTACCATCTTTGAAAGGATCTTTGAAAGGTGTATGGTCAAACTACTTCTTTCCCCATCAATAATTGAATATGTAATACTTAGTCCTATCCAATGCATTATTTTGTTTTTGTGTTTAACTTTTTTTAAACATTTCTGTCATTATTCTTTTTCCTTTTAATTCTTATTAATTTTTTTTCTTTGGCAACGTTGTATTGTAACCGGAAAACCCTTGTAGGAAATTACAATAAAATATGCCATATGGATGTATGCATGACCCTTAGAGAAGAAATGTGCTTAAAGCAAAGTGAACACAGATCCATGACAGTCCACTATATTTTGATCGGGTTGGCATAACAATGCACTTTTCCTTAGTAAGAGTTAAAATAAGAGAAACCTTTTACTAACATAAACTATCAAAGTATATTTACAGTGAAACAAGCTTTATACAGTATAAAATTTTAAGGAAAAATAAAATTTACTAGTTTTCATCTTAAAAATTGGTTTAAAATACTTTATACAACTTTAATTTTACACCTTTCCTGTACGAAAATTTGATTGTTTTATTGAGATGTGGATAACTTATTTTTTACATTTACCGTTTTGAAGGATTTTTCTCTAGAAGCCCAGAAAGGATACCAATTGCCTCGTTACTAAGTCTTGCAGGGAATTTCACATTTTCCTATAACAAACATATAATATATAAAAAATCATAATAATAAGTAAATAAAACACTGCCATCATAATCAATACAACTGCGAACAAGCAAAACATTTGCTGCATCATTGTGGATATTTTCCTGTTCAATGGCAAGTTTAAAATCAGATACCGTGTATTTACTTATTTGAATTATTATATATGTTGCGAATAACGTCCAAGCTTAACTATTCACATGGCTTCATATAAGTTAATTAATTTCCTGTCGACAACAGATTTTCAAAAGGCTGTAATGCCTTTCACATAATATAATAAATGGTTAAAATAATTGATTATTAATAATACCGATTCTTTGTCACAAAGAATAAGATCATGTTAAACGCCATGATAATTTATATTATTTACAAACCGTTAAAATCAGTTCAAATAGAACTACACGATCACTGTTGTAGAATGGAAGTCGGCCACATAACATTGTGTACATGACCACACCTACTCCCCACCAGTCAACAGCAGGCCCATAATCACAATCCTCAAGGACCTGAAATAAACAGAGGATGTTTGGTTTAACCAAGATCATGGCTCTAACTCACACCAAGGTTTCCTATAAGTGAAACTCCTGATACACCAACACCTCTGCGCCCCTCCCACCTCTCTTAATTTTTTGCCCCCGTTTATCCCGCTTAGCTTAGAAGAAATGGAAACAACTGTTATGCAGGCTAGATTGTACTTAAAAGGTGTCCTTCATTTAATAAATTCCATCCTTATTAGACTCTCACCCTTCATAAAAATTCAACTTTCAACTTCAACTTTAAACTTTATTTAAATCTGGAAATATAACAAAAGATACATTGGGACTGGCCTGCAGTTAGCGAGGCTATTCGAGGCAGGCCAGGCTACATAATTTACTACAAACGAGACAAATTCAAAGAAATTAGACCTTATACAAGTATATATATTTTACATTAGATAGATACTATTCTACTTAAATGCAAGGACAATATTAAAACTAGGGGTACCTTCCAGCAAGTGCCAACGAGGCGAATTCGATAACCTTTTGTGGGATGTGCCTAACGGTCCTTCGTGAATCGGTGGACAATTTTAGGGGTTTTAAATTGATTTGTCTATTATTAATAAAGCCAAAATAAGAATTAATACAGGGGATTGTAAAGGGACTGTAAAAGGGTGGGGTGGTACGCTCTTATATTGCCTATACGGGAATGTGCCGCTGTACAGGGTATAGTTTTTGACCTCTCCGTCCCCTATTGTGTTTTTACTACAGTAATTGCTAATAAANGCAAACAGGCCATGCCTAACCAAACTCTAGTGTTTGCTTCAGGTGGGGTGGAGCCCGTCCCCGGGGTCTCGCACCTGCAAGAGTTACCCGAGCCCCATTTGTTGGTAAGTAGTAATAAGAAACACTAGTGTAAATGGTTCGCTTAAGTGGCTCCTTTAACGATGGTATGAAATGTTTTGCTTTCAAAAAAATATCATCATTCATTTTTTCATTTCCTTTTTAATCCTTTTTTACTTTAGGGGATTTCTTTTCACGGGTTTGTGTGGGTGTTGGCTTATGAATAAAATAAAACAAAATAAACGTATAATCATGCTTTATAGTAATTACACAATATATTTGTTTGAACTGTTTCAGGTAGAGGGGGAAACAGGCCTTTCAAGTGCAGAAACAACTTGTAGTGAGTTATCGTCTGATGACCTTGCAACTGAACTGAAGAGGCTGGAGATATCGTCAAGAGGGCGGGATGATGAGACGTTCCTCAGTCCGGATACCGGAAGTCTTGTTTCTTCCACGAGTGACGAGGCCCCAACCACTATGCAAGAACCTCGCAAAAAGTTGAACGAATATCTGGTTTCGAAGAACATCCCGCCAATAACTCAGCCCTGGATGGAATGGGATAAAGCTGGAGAGAGCACTAAGAAGAGATACACCAAAAGGACAGTGGAGATCTTTTCTTCAGTCCTACAAGATCTTACACCTAATTATGCAGGTTCTCTTTGGCAAGCGGTCGTCTCGTCCCCTGCCATGAACAAAGCTCTTAAACTCGATGAATTATCACAAACGTCCAAGAATTATCTTCAGGCCTTAGCAGAGGCATATGGTAAAGCTCAAGGGTGGGAGACAAGAAGGCAGATCTTCTCTATGATGTCAAGCGTTGCCAGCTTCAATAATATTTCAAGATTTATACCAGGCTTAACTAGATATCGCTATAGCTTGGCCAGCCTGCATCGCTTACAGTACGGTAGCGGGGCTCCCACAACGCACCACCCTTCGCCGAGGATAAAGGCGCTTGCAACCTTGACGCCGAGGTTGTGGCGAGGGAAATGCGACGCGCCCGTGGAGCAGATGGTGTGCGACTTTTCCAGTCCTCAGAATTCCTAACCAGCTTGCAGATTGCGTCCTTCTTCTCAAGGCAAAGCGCTACACTACGGCAAAAGGATCCAGCAGATGAAGCGGATATCCGGGCATCTCAAGAGGAGGCTAACTTTAGTGCAGCGAAGGAGTTCGTTGAAACCATTCAGCTCAACCATCCTCTGGTATACGATCAGTACAACCTGTGTGAAATGGCGCTCAGTGGTAGCTTGAAAGTTCTCAAGCTACCGATGCTTCAGCGTTTGTGCGAGGATCTCTGCCTTGATGCACCTGTCCTGCCTGTGCGCAAGAAGGCTTCATACTTGGCACTCTTAGAGGAAATAACCAAAAAGTGGACATGCCGAAAGTAACTCTTTTATTAATAGCTTCCTGGAAGTGTTTTAGCGACAACCAGTTTGATAAAACGGGTTGAAAACGGGGAGAAGGGGTACTCCCAAAAAAATTGCCAAGGTTCTAGTTGTACCTTTTACAACCTCGTTCCCAGGTTCTCTCTCTTAGGTTGGTACGGCTATCGCCTAGAGTTTAAAATTCTAAAACGACCGCAGCTGTAGCAGTACCTATGAAAATGAAGGGAACTGTTTTGGGGTTGAACTAAAGCCACTTACGTAATGAGAATATTGCGATCAGAGCCGCCCTGACAGGAAGTATGGGACTACCCCCTCCTCCCCAAGTCTGAGAGTCAATGACAAAACAAAACAATTACAGAAAACAATATCAAAGAAAGCTTCCCTGCCGGGATGTAGTATATGAAATTCATTTTATAACTGCGTTTAGCAAGACATAAAACAAAGATCTTACTTTGAAAAACACCCTGCGAAAAATTTTCACTTCTAAACATACTAAGTCCCCACCCCCATCCTGACAACAGGTCAAAACGTTTATCCTGCTGGTGGGAAGTTATTGTTATTGCTGTTGTTTTTTTTTTTTTAATATTATTATTCCTACCGGAGCCTCAAAATAATACTTCGTTTTAGAAAAATACTAATTTCAGCAAAATTAACTTGTTTAAGTTTCTAGACCACGCTGGATGGGTGGGAGAGGGTAACTGAGATTGCGTTACATTTACTGGACTCGAATATCAAAACACGGTTTATTCTGACAGAATGCCGTTTGTTTCGATTTCTTGACACATGTAGCTTCACGTGTTTCAGATACTAAAAATAAAAACCGTTTGAAATTGTGAAAACTAACGTGGATTCAAACTCTCCCTGTAGTGGAAAATGGCTTTCCGCAACGTTGTTTCTGCCTGTACGATTAAATACCGCCTATAGCTATAATGTGGCACTTTGGCGGTTATTATTATTGTCGCGGTAATAACTATTTCCAAAATTTGAACGGTCTTTCCAGCAAACTACCTTCGTTTTTTTTTAAAGTCACACGATTACTATTTCATTCAAGAAACCTTGCAGAACGATAAATATCTAGGAAAACGTCCTGGATGGTTTGACACAAAGGCGGCACCTGATTTAACTGATTTATCACGTTTGTTTACATTACCTTGCGATAAACAAGGCGGACAATCTACATCAAGCTGATCTGTTCAAAGCACTGGATGTGTCTCCTATGAGCTCTTGGGTATTTCTATAAGCGGCAAACTTAAAATTGTCAAAGGTAAATTTAGTTTGATATTTTAACGCAAGTGATCATGACTATAAGGTTAGATGCATAGGATGTTTGTTATAAATCCAGCGCCATTTTGCACGTTGATATTGCTCAGACTTTCGATTCCTTCGAAGGGAAGCGTTCCGAGTTCGACCTTGAAACTTTACTTGGTAAATCTTTAAGACCTATATTTTAGCTCTGTAATGCTTGATTGTTAAAAACTGACATACCAGGAACATTTTTATCCTGATGAATATTATCTACATTTTGCTCCCATCGAAAGCGGTCTCCGAAGATGTTTTCTAAATGGCCTGAAAAACCATTGTATTATCATATTTTAAAAGATTAAAACATTGGTAGTGTAGAAGATTGATTGCTTTGAAATTCTTTTTATTTTGAGGTCAACTGATTTCATTTTAAGACTTCGGCGGAGCTTTATAATCGCACCTTTTGATCAACCAAATAACCGCACTTTGACCGCATTTTGACACCACTTTTAATTTTTCTCAAATTTCCCAAATAAACAAAATCGTTGGAACTTTTGAATATGATTTTTGAAAACAGTCTACCCAAGGCTAACTTTGGGCAAAATATCAGGGATTCGCCAAATGGGTCGCTGACCGCCGATTCTCGATCCTTACAGACAGCCACTCTTAAATAACAGTTTCTTTTCCACTTTGTTTCACTAGAGTTCACATGTCATTTTTTTGGAATTCTTTAACTTTGTCCACAAAATGGTTGATTTGTTTAGTACCACAGTACTTCCTGTGGAAATTACAAGTTTAGTACTTCTTTGACAATGTTCCGTTGGGAGTTGTATTTCAATTTGACATCCTTTAGGCTCATAAGGGCATCTTCTATTTCATCTTTGTTGCTGCTCATACTTGCTGTTGTATTCTTCAGGAGGTTTTCGATTTCATTTGTAAATGAGTGAGCCACAATTCCGATTCATTGTGTTGAATACACAGCTTAACAGAGCCTTCCCGCCTGCAGTTGATGATCCTTTGTCGCACTTTGCAGTTTTGGCATCTCACTGACTCGCCCGACTCATCCCCAATTCGTTTTTTGCAAAGTTGGCATGCACTAAAAATGCTTAAACTGGCAACATATTTTAGTTGACTTGCAATGATCTCTCTTTCTGGATTTGTCAATATTTCTGGCCCCACTAATTTTTTGAGAGTTTTGGTTTCCTCACTGTAAGTTGTATTCCTGTTGGTGCTAAGGAATTTTGATCCTTGATAATACCGTAGTGTGAGGTTTTGAAAGTAATAGGCCTTGTTGCTTTTCAGTAGTGTAAATAACGGTTCCCATATGTGGAGTTCCACTGTGCCCGTTTCGTCTTCCAATATGCAGTCTTCTTTGACAGATAAAGCTTGACTGGATTTGGTTTCTATCTTGGTTGGCTCCTGGGCTCCCATTGACAGAGTTGCATGGACGTTGACTTTCTGATTGGGCGCCATTTCTTTCAGTTCTCGTAAAGAGACATCAGACGCTTCCTGTGATGTTGATTCGGAACGTTCTGACTTGACAAAATTTGGTACATAGGAGAATGGTATATCAGCATTTGCACACTGCGAAACATAGGATTGCTGGTTGAAAAGTCAGTCGTTGTCTTCATCTTCTGGTATAAGAAGGTTCTTTAACAAGACGGGAGACTTGGTTTCTTGGAAGTGCTTGATCTTGGGATGTTTTGTTTTGTCAAATCCAACTACTCTTTGCACTTTAGTCGGTGAAACTTGCAGGTGAAAGTCAAACCAATCATGTCTGGATCTTGCAGCGGTTTTCACGGGGGATATTTTTTGGATGTACCCATACTTGTTTACTAAACAAAAGAAGAGCAAACAAATTCAGGATGCATGATCATCAATGCGCTTACAGTGACAGCAACAATAATCCTATTATCATCATTATAGTTAACACAATAACACATGCTATGCTATCTTAGCATAGTTTGCTTGAACATTTTTCAAGTGTCTTGAACTAAAAAAGGTTTTCCATCTTTGCTCCCACTTTCCCATCATATCAAACATATAAGCTCTTTCATAGGGAACATCAACTTGAATAAAATTTTACAACTTACCCCTAGACTGCTTTCTTGCTGACATCATGAACTGTAATTTTTTAAAGTAACAATAACGTGTTAGCAACTCAGTTTACAAATAAGCCCATCTTTCAGTTACAAATAAAATAAGCATCACAGTGAGAATCACCTCAGAAAGTTATAGTATTTTTATACAAGTGGAAACCTGAAAATAATGATATTAATTAAAATGACAACATCAATGGAATAACAAAGAGGTATAGAGTAAATCAACTAGTAAATAAAATCACCTTTCAACGGTGTTCTAGAGGCTTCCTGTGAACGTGCTTAGTTGACCAAAATGCAAAAACCTTGAGACCTAACGTCCAGGTTGCTACAGTCAAACCCTGTTAATATGGACACTGAGGGGGTCAAAGAAAGTGTCTGTATCAACAGGTCCATATTAAGCACGTTGAATTTAGATAAAAAGAAAAGGCTTTCTTTCCTTGACGACAAAGCAAACTGTTCATAATAATGAGGTGACTGTATCAAGACAGTGGGTGTCCATAGAGTGGAGTTTGACTATATTAAGGATACATGGCACATACAGCTGTATGTAGCCAGCTTATAATAATAATCTATAACTTAATGAAAAAAGACAGTACTTTAGAACTATACATCATGAGGCATTGTGTTCCCAGGCAAGAAATATTTAAGTGGGGACAAGTCAAACTGAAATTCACCTGCCCACTAAGGAAGTAGATTTAATTTTTTTCTGCCTTGGTTCTAATAAATGAATATGATGCAACAAAAGTAAAGCAAGTACTCACTGGTCAATTACCCGGCATTTACTATTTGCCCATGGGTGAATTGTGATAAAGCTAGTGAGCGCTTAGAGCCATACACTTGAGGGTCACTTTCCATGTGACTTTATTTTTTTCCTCATAGTTTGCAAAGATTCTTGTTTTCATACTCAAAGAAAGTTTCAAAAAGATCATACAAGATAACATAAAAATTTCTATAATCCGCATTGCGACTGAGGACTACTTGTTTAGCAAAACGATTTTTTTTAAAAAAAAGAATAAGTTACAATGAATGATATTGCCACAAGCAGATGACAGCACTCGTGTCATTCCCCTGCTGACATTTTTTGCATAATGCATCAACTTAGACATAACTCCTGAATAACTCTTTGAATGAAGCATTTCCTTCAGTTCTTCTACAGACATGTGAGATTCTCCTGGATTTTGCTTGAGAAATATACTTCCTTGGCTAAGCATTGTATGTCTCTGAAGCATGTTGAATGCCCAATAAGCAAATCTAGGGTGTGCGCAAACCTATAATGCCATTTCTCATCTTTCTTTTCACCAAATTTTATAAGGTTCTTTAATTTTTTCACCAAAAGTAACATCACGTTTTGTTCCCGAGTTAGTGGGATCTCCTTTGCTATCAGGAAAGAGGGTTGGGAAAGCCATTGTTGCTAAGAATTCAACTTTAAATTCACTAACAGGTATTTGGCCCCTTTCAGGCCATCTAATCTTATTGTGCTGCAATATTTCATCTTTTATGATTTCTTTCTGTTGCTTGGATTTCACAGGATTTAACAACATACTACTCAGCTGTGTCTTCGTTGTTTGGCAAGTCATCAATATCAAGTGGACCTCTGTCTGGATCTAATTCTTCGCTTCCGCTTCCTTTTTCGCACCTTACTTTTGAGAGATCGGCTGGAATGCCTTCTAAGGGAAGTTGAGCTAAACATTCATAATCAATCTGTACGTCTCTGTAAACAGGATTGTGACTCACCAGCCAGTGTAAGGCATATGATACTTTTTCTCGACGCACAATTAGATCTTTTGACATATCATTTTTACCATCAACTGTAACTATAATAACTGGTAATTCTTTTGGTTGCCTAGGCAAAGTATAAAAAAGCTGTTGAACTTCTTGGGGAAAATTGATGCAATGGCCTCTATATGCTCTCTGCCCTCCTGGCTTAGTATAAACACTCATAACGGGGAACACTCTGGCTATGAGCATTTCTTCTATTTGTGTCGGTTTTTTAAGTTCTACTGGCACAGCAGATGGTAGAAAGCTGTTTTCAAACGAAAATTTTTTTGTATCATTCTTGTCTCTTAAGCACCTGGTACAAATATATGTTCCTTTTTCTTTTTTGTTTTAATGTGAAGTGGCCATGCTTCATGACAGCATTGACATAAAGAAATTCTTAACTTCATCGAATCATGAAACTTTTGCATGTTCAGTTTTGCCCACTCTTGTTGGTGAAGCTCTTCACAGTTACTTATTTTAAACTCAGATAAATACATTTCCTGGCTAGAAACTCCATTTTTCAGACTTGTTACTCCTTCAGTCATTACACTACTATCTGAATTTTTTTTCTTGAGCCTGTATGCCCGCATGTACAACTTTTTTCTTTCCTTCACTTCACTAGATGTTTGTGAAGACCTTTTTCTTATTTCCTGTTTAGGTCGTTTAATGTTTCATCTGCATAATATTGACTTTTCCGCTTCATTGTAAATTTAATTACTAAATCATTTCTTTGGTTTTCATTTCTTTTACGTATTTCTAATTTGCCCCTTTCTCTTAGGTCAAGTTCAGAATAAGTTTTAGCTCTATACTTCTGCATGTATGCATTATTTTTTGCCTTGACTTCTGGCTGTTTTCTGTAACACTTCATATAGTTATTACATTTGACTCTGTTATCCTTTTTATAACTTGTGACTTTTTGGTCTAACTTCACTTCTTTCGTACTGCAAGAGTCTTTTGACACTGATTTGCAAACAACTGGATTTATGGTTAAGCTATTACAGGTCTGATTTGCAGATTCATGTAAATTGATGTCTACAGACTCAGACTTTTGAAATATGGAAAAAAACCAGCCATCCGGATAACTATACAATACTTCTTGAAAGGATAAGAAACGCCTTACAGAAACACACAAATCATCAATATAGATCCAACCGCTCGCACAACAGTAAAATGTCTATTTAAACACCTAACAATTCCTTTGAGGCAGTATGAAACTCTTAAGGTTTCCATATCATGTGGAAAAAACATTTGAGTTATACAATCAGGTGACAATTCTATCATTAAGAAGGTTGGCACGCACACAAAGTGTCGAAGTGAAGCAACACTTCCAGAATGATTTTGGCAGTAAACACAAAAAAGTCTATTGATGTTTGGCAGCATAGCTTCTGATACAGAACTTTCAAAACCATTCTGATTTATATGGCGGGAGGTAATATACAAGACAAAAACATCTGTGGATTTGGTGATTTCCTGGTTACACAATGAACGAATGGAATAATTGGTATGTTGAATAAGAAATAATGATTTTAAACCAAACGTTAATTCTCCAAATGTATTGATTTGGAATATGTCTCTGAATACAGCATTATCTGACATACCTGTAAAAGAGGCACAGTTCTGTCTCATCCAGGCCCAAATGGGTTCTCGGACTGAACGTAACTGGTTGGAAAGGATTTCACCACTATTTACTTGCACACATGCTGTGTATAACATTTCAAAAAATTCATTACGTTCCACAGACTCAATAGCATCTTTAAAAATGTAACAGCTTAACTCCATAAAACAATCAATTGCACATGAGAATTTTCCTGGAAAATCAAGGCAGTAATTCCTGAAATGCATTTGCTCAACGGGGAGGAATGAACGAGGCAATGACTGCGATATTTCTTTACCAAAACGTTCTTGTAAATGTGGTTTGGTTTGGGAAGATTTACGGGAGTTTGAATCCTTTGACAATGCTGGATTTCCATTGACCAAATGTGCTTCCTTGTTTGTTATTATGTAAGGATTAAAACTACCATTTGAAGCATACGGAATTCTTCTAGACAAATATTTCCGTTTGTAATAGGTGACCGTATATAAGCACGGGCCACAAAATCTAATTTTGTGTAATTGTAAATCGTCACTTAAACAAGAACGCGGAGGTTTAATTATGGAGCAACTGCTTCCACAAATAATGAGTGATACAATCAGCATGAAGCAGTAAACATGAAACATGACAAAGTTGGTATGCGACTGAACGCTCGCAGTGATCAAGCAATGGAAACCACGTGTTTGTCTTGATTTAATACGCAACGCTGGCGTTTAAGGATTTTTTTCTGCTAAAAGATGTAAAAATAAATCACTTCGCTTCTTTTCTCGTAAGTCTTCAGAACGTCTCAGTCGACGAAAGAACACCTCGTTCGAAATTGACAGGCAAACACACAGGTGCGAACACGCTGGTTCAATTCGAATCGAGCTACGAAGAACACGCTGGTTCTAATAAAAATTTGAGCGTATAATCCCATTCCTTGATCAGCTACCGCTTAAGATTCAATTTACAAAGGAAAAGAGAGCACTGCAAACCCTGGTTCTGAATAGAGAATGTATAAAGCAAACACGCTGGCTCGAATGTAAGCCTGCGAAGAACAAGCTGGCTCTGACAAAAATTTGGGCGTAAAACCCTATTCCTTGATCAGCTGCTGCTTCAAACGCAATTTATAAAGCAAACCAAACCACTAATAGCCTTTTCAAACTAGAAATCGTATTAAAACTTGCTCACCTGTCAGGTCATCGACCTTCTCCGATGGACAACGAACAGCTGCACACTTGACCACGCAATCTCAAACCACGAGTTATAAATACAAGACCATGACGTCACTGCCCAAATATGGGGTCTTACTTACACCCAAATATGGTCAAAAATGCAAATTTTAGAGGGTTACGCAGAATTTGAGGGGTTTTGCCCACATTGCGCGGCGTTATAATCTGCCGCCGAGTCAACCTCGCTTCCTAGCTCGGTTGCCTCGTTGGCAATTAACATACAATAGAACCTCTATAACTTGAACTCAAATAACTCTTATTCCCCACTAACTCGAACTAAATTACCTTTCCCTTGATCAAAATTTCACTGAGTTACCAGGGTTCTACTGTATATGCCAAATTTTCCATTCAATATTACCTGTTAGGTAACTTCAACTTACTTTTACAAGCAATGTTTACATACTTTGGCAATCAGTTGTAGAAATTTTGTTAGGTTTTTACTTACTTTTCAAACATAAATTATCAACATAATTTTCAGTTAAAACAACTACTTATTTATCAGTTGCCATGAGAGAAGGTATGGAAAACTAACCTCTGGCGCCAAGTATTGAGGACAGCCACAAAATGCGTTTGTTCTTGCTTCATGTGAAACATCTTCTTTACAAAGCCCAAAGTCAACAATTTTAATATGGCCTTCTGAGTCAAGCAGCAACTTTTCAAGCTATCAAGAAAGAGAAAAGTCTAAATAAACTAAACTACTGGTACATGGAAATCTTAAAGTGGAATGCTAGTATGCCACTTTTTTTTATTATCGATTTAGCTGGCCCCTTGTTCACGTTTGAATAGTGTTTTCCGAACTGTTTTCTTAATGTTTTATATATAAATTATGGAAAAATACAATCTTGCTTTAAACTCCATCTTACACTATTTTAACCAAAATGGTTTCCGGCTTACTTTGTAGGCTTGTTTTATATCTTATGCTATTTTATCCATGACGATTTAGGGGAAAATACTTTATTAGGGTCTGCAAAATCATGATTACCTTAAGATCTCTGTAGATGATTTTCTTGTCATGAAGATACTTGATGGCTAAAACTATTTCAGAAGCATAAAACCTTGACCTTTCCTCCGAGAACACTTCAGATAGGTGGGAAAAAAGCTGATGAAACAAAAAAGCAAACAGCAACATTAACAATATAGGTGAATCTTTGTTGATGTTATTGTTTACATTTTCCCTCATTAGCAATACCACTTAACTCATAAACTCCGTGGCCATATGTACGAGCTAAATTCAAAAGTTGAAAGAGCTGATGTTAACTAGAGCAATATTGAAGGCAATATTAGCCATCGAAAATTTTGCATTATTTGTAGAATTTCGAGTTTTTAAAATTGAATTTCTCAAAAACCATTCAGTACATTGGGCTCAAGGTTTCAGAGATAACTTACTGAAATTGTTATGCTCTTTTCAATATTCAGAGGTTTTATTTTATTATCCTCATCAGATAATGATGAGCAATGTTAATGAGGCAAAAACGGTAAACAAGATTTACCTATACAGTGAGACCTGTACTAAGCGGACACCCTCGGGGAATGGTGTAGTGTCCGCTTAATACAGGGTGTCTGCCTATTTGTTTATTTTTTCCTTCATTTATTTATTTTACAAACCATTTATACTGTATTACAAGATTGAAGAATTAAAGATGCTATTTGTAGAATTAAATATCAGGTTACAAGAATAAATGGAGAAGGCAGGATATAGTTAAACTAATTACTTGCCCTTTGATTAAATTACAGTTTCATTTAGGTTAAAAGAGAAAAAAAGAGAAAAGTATAAACCCTATAAACTATGAAAAATATATGAAAAATATTCAAAAGAAAGGAAAAAAGAAAAGTACATACACACACACACACACATAAAAAATGTAACATTTGAGAGTCGGTGTGGCGATGATTAGTACTGAGCAAGATAATAGTTGAAAAGTGCTCTTTTAACAATTTTTTAGTTGTTTTTCTATGGGGCGCCATTTGTAAAAAAAATGATTTAGCTTAATTTTGTCATTTTTTTCGTTATTTATTAAATAAAGTTTTCTGATATGATATTATACGTCAATGATTTGATATAATAAATGTTGATTTCAAATCATGCGTTTATGATTTGATATAATAAATTATTATTTAAAATCATGCGTTTATGATTTGATATAATAAATTCTGATTTCAAATCATACCTTTATGATTTGTTATAATAAATTATTTTTTCAAATCATACCTTTATGATTTGATATAATAAATATTGATTTCAAATCATAAGTTTATGATTTGATATAATAAATCCTGATTTCAAATCATAAGTTTATGATTTGATATAATAAATCCTGATTTCAAATCATTCGTTTATGATTTGATATAGTAAATCCTGATTTCAAATCATAAGTTTATGATTTCATATAATAAGTTCTGATTTTAAATCATAAGTTTATGATTTGATATAATAAATCCTGATTTCAAATCATAAGTATATGATTTCATATAATAAAAATCATTATTTGATATCAGTAAAACCATGATTTAATTTAATAAGTAATAAGTAACCGCGTGACTTGGCACGTGGGTTACTAGCGCGGGAATAATCACAAAGATGGCGACACAACCAGATCAGCTATCGAGGTCAATCGCTTCTGCGGTCTCTAGAGCCGTAGAAAGGGCGGTTGACCAAGCTTTGGCATCCCTTCCGAGCCTTCCTGGCAATTCAGGTTTTGCTCCTGCGACACAAGAGGTATGTTACATTGATGTATCACTGCTAAAGCATCCCAGTCGCTGCCGGGGTGATGACCTGTGTGTCGATGTGATTAACAAAAAAATCATTATTGATGTCTTCCAAGCGCCTCATCTATTTCTTACATGTTGCACTGCATCATTAGTTAAGGGGATTGCATGTTAATCGGAAAGCTATGACTATATTTACGAGGGAAAGAGGACTTTTGGACCTTTCGCTTGTCTGGCGCATTGCGTGACACGCGCGGCTTAGTTTTAGATGTGTTTGCTTCCTTTTTTTATGTCCTTTTAGTAGCCATACTAAAATAACATACAGCTAACGATTGTTTCTATTTCACAAAGTGAGGCGACAAGACAGTTCGTCAGAGAACAAGAGATCGAGACAAACAAAGGGCTATTTACACCTCAACACCGGGAGGAGAAATTATTAGTTAGTGACATCGGTCCAAGCGTCCTTGGCGAACAAAAATTCATTGTACAGGCGTAACATTGAGACTCTGGTTTGGCGACAAATCGCAGTAGCATATATATGTTTCATCACCATCATCTTTTTATTTGCCTCGCCGTAAATAATAATAAGAATAAAAGTCTCCGCACTACAGTAACTATTTCCGGTAACGCTACTGTGCACTGCTTGTGTGATTTGTATTTATCATGTGGACATCTGGTTCTTAAAAACCCATCATGTCTATTTGTTAGTCCAAGCGAATTGTGAACAGGTTAGACTTTGTTAACGCTTACTAAACAAACCCATCCACGAGAAACATATTTACGTACCTCTTCACATATTGATTTGTGAAATAAAAACAATCATTCACTGTATGTTATTTTAGTATGGCTACCAAAAGGGCATAAAAAAAGGAAGCAAACACATCTAATTTAACTGACATGGTATTAACCATGAGCCGCGCGTGTCACGCAATGCGCCAGACAAGCGAAAGGTCCAAAAGTCCTCTTTCCCTCGTAAATATAGTCATAGCTTTCCGATTAACATGCAATCCCCTTAACTAATGATGCAGTGCAACATGTAAGAAATAGATGAGGCGCTTGGAAGACATCAATAATGAGTTTTTTGTTAATCACATCGACACACAGGTCATCACCCCGGCGGCGACTGGGATGCTTTTAATAGCAGTGATACATCAATGTAACATACCTCTTGTGTCGCAGGAGCAAAACCTGAATTGCCAGGAAGGCTCGGAAGGGATGCCAAAGCTTGGTCAACCGCCCTTTCTACGGCTCTAGAGACCGCAGAAGCGATTGACCTTGATAGCTGATCTGGTTGTGTCGCCATCTTTGTGATTATTCCCGCGCTAGTAACCCACGTGCCAAGTCACGCGGTTACTTATTACTTATTAAATTAAATCATGGTTTTACTGATATCAAATAATGATTTTTATTATATGAAATCATATACTTATGATTTGAAATCAGGATTTATTATATCAAATCATAAACTTATGATTTAAAATCAGAACTTATTATATGAAATCATAAACTTATGATTTGAAATCAGGATTTACTATATCAAATCATAAACGAATGATTTGAATTCAGGATTTATTATATCAAATCATAAACTTATGATTTGAAATCAGGATTTATTACATCAAATCATAAACTTATGATTTGAAATCAATGTTTATTATTTCAAATCATAAAGGTATGATTTGAAAAAATAATTTATTATATCAAATCAT